ACCGGGACCCCCTGAATCCCGATTGCTGAGCACGGGAACCCCCTGAGTCCCCATTCCCGGAAGGAGACCCCCCTGAACACCCATTCCCGGGCACGGGAACTCCCCTGAACTTCCTTTTCCGGGTACTTTGCCCCCCCTGCACCCTCTCCGCACCAGGAGCCCCTTAAACCTCCTTATCCGACACTGGGATCCCCCAATTTCCATTTCTTGGCACCGAGACCCCCCTGAACACCCATTCCCGGGCACGGGAACCCCCCTGAACCTCCATTTCTGGGCACTGGGAACCCCCTGAATCCCCTTATCCTGCACTAGGATCCCCTCCACCCCCATCCCCAGCTCCAGGACCCCTCTGAACCCCCTTATCCTCAACAAATACCCCCCGTGCCCCTTTTCCTTCCAATCCTGCCTCTCCCAGCCCCCTGATCCTCCCTTTTCCTTGATCCTGGGATCCCCTGCACCCCCATTCCTGCCTTTCCCAGCACCCAGTCGCCAGTTTCCTCAACACTGTGGACCACTGGACCCCCTTTCCTGGGCACAGGGACCGCCTGGATCCCCCATCCCACCTCTCCCAGTCCCAGCCCCCCCTTTCCTTGAACCTTGGACCCTTCCCAGCTCTCCCAGTTCCTCTTCCTTGACCCTTGGACCTCCCAGAACCTCCAATCTCTGTGACCCCCCCAGTTCTCCACTCCCTGTGCTTCCTGCAGGGGGGTCCCAGGCACCGGGAACGCCCTCGACCGAAATTCCTGGGCACTGGGACCCCCCTGAACCCACTTATCCTGCACCAGGATCCCCCTGCACCCCCTTTCCAGCCATCTCGCCTCTTCCAGACCCCAGACTCAGCTTTTCCTTGACCCTGAGACCCCCAGAATCCCCGTTCCTGCTTTTCCCAGACCCCAGACCCCGCTTTCCTCAACACATGGGACCCCTGCACCCCCCTTTCCTGGGCACAGGGACCCCCTAGACTCCCCATCTCACCTCTCCCAGCCCCTGCACCCCCTTTCCTTGACCTTGGGACCCCCTGAACCTCCATTCCTGGGCATGGGGACCCCTCTGCCCCCCCTTTATCCAGCACCCAGACCCCCCTGACCCCCCTTCTCTGGTACTGGGACTCCCCTGCACCCTCATTCCCAGCAATTCCAGGTCTCCTCACTCCATGACCCCTCTTTCCCCAACACTGGGCCCCCCCCAGGGCCCCCTTTCCTGGGCACAGGGACCCCTGGATGCCCCATCCCACCTCTCCCAGTCCCTACACCCTCCCTTCGTTGGCTCTGGGATCCCCAAACCCCCTTCCCGGCTCTCCCAGCTCTCCCAGCTCCCCCTTTCCTTGACCCATGACCCCTCTGGACCCCCCAAATCTCCGTGTCCCCCCAGTTCTTCATTCCCTGCGTTACCTGGATGTGATGGTGTCGGAGCCCAGCCCGGGGATCCCTCAATACCTGTCCATGGGATACGTGGACGGGATCCCCTTTGAGCGCTACGACAGCGATCGGGGCCGGACGGAGCCACAGACACCGTGGATGGCGGCCGGAGCCGAGCCGGGATATTGGGATAGAGAGACCCAGATCAATGAGAGGAACTGGCTCATTGCTACCACTGACCTGGAGACAGCGAGGGGCCTGTACAACTGGAGTGGGGGTGAGTGGGGGAAGCCGGGGAATGAGAGGATCTGTGGGGCTGGGATGTGGATCCAAGGTGCTCCAAGGACTGGGATGAGGCTCTGTGGGTGTCCATCAGACTCTGGGGCTCCACAGGGCTGGAATGGGGCTCCTTGGGGCTGGGACACAATTCCAGAGTCTCCATGGCTCTGATCCCACCCCCCAGGTCTCCACACGGTGCAGCGGGTTTGTGGCTGTGACCTCCTGTCCGACGGGAGCGTCCGTGGATCCTTTCGGCAAGGCTACGATGGGCAGGATTTCATCTCCTTCGAGCTGGGATCCGGGAGCTTCGTGGCGGCCGATGGAGCTGCCCAGATCACCAAGAGGAAATGGGAACACGATGGGATCGTGGCAGAGAGACAGACACATTACCTAAAGAACGTCTGTCCAGAATGGCTCCGGAAATATGTTGGATATGGGCGGGAGGCACTGGAGCGCAAAGGTGAGGGAGACAGAATTCCCATGGGAATGTGGGATTTGGGAGGGTGGAACTGAGGAACACGGGAGTTCCCATGGGAATTCTGTGGATGAATCTGAGTCATCCAGCTCCCATGGGAATTCCATGGATGGATCTCACCGTTATCCCATTCCAGATCCCCCCGATGTCCACATGTCCGGGAAAGAGGAACACGGGATCCTGACGTTGTCCTGCCACGCG